CCAGGGCAGCGGCGGAGTCGCCGTCCCTGGAGGGGTTCAAAAGCCGTGTAGATGTGGCACTTCAGGACGTGGTTTAGCAGGCACGGTGGTGCTGGGTTGACGGCTGGGCTTGATGATCTTAGAGGACTTTTCCAGCCTTAATCACTCTGTGATCCTGTTCTATGAGCGTGTGCCCTTAGGCTTGAGCCTAGGGACCGATTCGCTTCTAACATGTCTGTTCTCTGGCGCTGTTGTGAGCACAGGGGTGAAAGGAGCTGATCACCAGGGCGTGCCCAGCCTGCCCTGTCGGGCGGGTTCGGATGGGCTGTCTCCTGGCACCCTGTCCCTGTGGGCCAGGTCTCGGACACAGCCCGGCAGTGAGCTCCGGAGCTTGCATCGCGACTGTGTGCTGTTTGTCCCCTGTCAACAGGGCGCCCCGGCTCCTGCCGCGCATGGGACTGGTGACGGACGTAACTGGCCCAATCATGCTTCTACTCAAGCAACTGCCATAGCAGCCAGGAAGAAGGTGTCAAAAATCTGCTCTTCCTGAACACTAGACACCTGCCACCTGCCTGAATTCTGGCCTGGGGAAGTGATTTTCCTTCCTCTTGCCAGAGGAGCAAGTAAGTCAACAACACAACAGCAAGCTCTGATTGACTGTTGTTTCTTTCTTTGTTGCGTCTTTGACCCTCGAAGGTAACTCCCTCCTCGCACTCTGCAGTGCTCGCTGATTTCTGCCAAGTGAGCACTGCAGAAATTCCAAGCGCCTTGCAAAGCAGCCTGTCCAGCAGTTATGCGCATCCTTGCCTGCTGGTTTTACAGCTGGGCAGGCAAGTGCAACAGCTTGGAATAACGTCTGTGCGGTAGGGGCTCTTCTCACTCAGCCAGCTAACACGATCTCCGCTTAGCCTCTGACCTGTGGGCTGAGACTCTTGGTTAGGGAACAGGTCAGCCTTCTGCAGCTTAATCCGCTGCACCGCAAGAGCATTGTGAGGGGTAACAGCTTGCGTGGAGGACCTTGTGTTAAAGTCGTAGCGGGTGCTGCACGTCAAAATGCCTCTGCAACTTGGGATGTGTGTGGCTGGAGCTAAAACTTGCTTTACTGAAGGAGACGAGATTGGTCGTCTGTCTCCTCCCTCCCTTCTGAATTTGAGCCCTGATGTCACCATGCTCATAATTTCCACACGCAGTTCTTGGGAAGCTACCTGCGGCAGCACCTGAGAAAGCAAGCTTGGTTTGAAAACACGTGGCATGTGTTTCAGAAGTGGGGAGCCAGAAGGAATCATAGGCCAAACAGAGATCTCATGAGGTCTGCAAAAGAGACAGAGACAGGAAGTTGCGCTAGTTCCTTGGACCATAATGACTGCTCAGGCTGCAGCCTCAGTTCTCATCCGTTTTAAGCTCATAGGTATTGTATTGCTGAGCAACACAGTACTGAGATGAAGGCTCTGTCTTTTAGCATAGCCTGGTTTGTTTCTCTCGCTGCGTCGGTTTCGTTACAGAAGGGTTCTTGGCCGGTCTGGTGCCCAAGCCCTGCTTATGGGGGTATCTCTGCAGGGATCTCTGTGTGTTTGGTATCATCCCCTAGACCTAGTGTCCTGCAGTGCTGGTGACCACGTACTGGCTTGGGTGCCCATTTGTATCCCTCTCACTATGGGGATCTTGTAAAGTCTGACTCGCTCCTCATTTTGCGGGGCTCCTGCCCGCTGCAACGTACCCGGTTCGCTCATGCTTTGGCGCACCAAGTCAAGTGCCTCTTTGGGCAGGGCCTGTGCGTCCTCCTGAAACTTCCTGAGCCCTTCTGGAGTCAGCTTCCACAGGCAGCACTTGCGGTTTCTCTCGCTGCACATGAAGACAGTGGTTTTCTCAAAGCAGCTGCTGAAGCACAAGTTGTGTCGGATCGTGCTTTTCCAGCCCTCTGGGGCCGTTTGAAAAAATGGGAAGTGCCACCTGCGGAAAGAAAAGATTTGTCCTGAGTTGAAGCACTTAGAGGCTGCGATGAATAACAGAACATGTCACACCCGAGCGAGAGGAGAGGGTCCTCCCTGACCCCTGTGGTGTAAGGATGGATGGCTGGCACAGCCAAGCACTGCGTTTTTCTAAGGAGGGTAGGACAAAACTAAAGTGCCCGCTCGCAAGACTCACGGGCTTGGGCATTGACAAAAGAGGGGAGCGGCATCTTGAGCCGAAGGCAAAGCTAAGACCCAAATGCTAGTGCTGGCTGCCACATCCCTGCTCCCCAGCAGAAGGTCAGAGATTCCTGAATCCCCTCATTCTGCACGAGGAGCTGGGATGAGAGTAGGTACCGTATGAACTGGTAGATCTGCTGTACTGTCAGACTGCCACTTGCGCTGTTGCACAGGGCGAGGGTGATGAAGATGGAGTAATTAAGGGGGGGACGGGGCCAGCCTCCCTTGATTTTGGTGCTCATCTGCCTGGGGCACTTGAGCTTCACGCTCTCAGGTCTGAGGACTGCGGATGTCCAAGGCGTCGGCATCACCTTGAGTTCGGGAGTTTCTGGCACCTCCTGAGGAACTGGGTTGTCCATGCGCAAGCATCTTCATCTGCAATAAGCTGGGGAGAGGAAGGAGAAAAATGACATGGGGTATGTTAGCCCTGGGTGGAATGAGGGACAGGGATAAGCTGGTTTGTTCCGGGGAAGGTAGGTCTGGCAGAGCGCATACAGAAATCTTATGTGTTTTCAATTTCAGCCTGCTTCCCTGCACTTTGCACTCTCCGCCTGTTCGTCAGACGGGCTCCGTGCGTTGACTGACCCCTGTTGAAACAGGAGGCAGCCGCTCGCAGAGCTGCTGAGCCAGCTCGTTTGTTCTTGCAGGATCGTTCAGTGCGCACGATGCTTGGGGCTGCCCAAGCAGTTCCCTTTCTTGTACCTTTCCAGCCTCGCTGGAGGGTGACAGCACATCCTCCTTGGAGCAGTCTGGGTCGGAGTAGTCCCAGAATGTGTTCGGAGAGGAGGTTTCCTTGGCACCGGCAACCGAGGCCACCGGGCTGTCGGATCCATCCGGGTCTATGCCGGGGCTCCCAGGGATGGGGCAGACCAGGCTGGGGTTTACCCATCCACAGATGGGGCTGAACACCGCGTTCTACGGAGAAGCAGAAACGTCACCCTGCCAGTCGCACCTGGGGACCTTTTCCAGACCCTGCTGCCCAGAGGCAACCTGGGGAAGCCCTAATGCAATGCAGCTCCCAAGGCGGAGGTCCCTGGTTGCCTTCTCATCCCTCCAAACAGCGTTATTTCCTGTTTTGCATACAGCGTGCACATCGGCGTGTTCTCACACCGCTGCGGCCAGCCCGAACACCAGTGCTCAGCTCTGAAATTTTAATTTCTCTTTCCCCTGCAAAGCCAGAAGAGTGTAAATTGCTCCCTTCAGTCCTCCTTCCCCAAGTTTATCTACCCAAAATGTTGCCTTCAGAGGAAGTGTGTCTGTGGGCACAGTGGTGTAATTATACCCTTGTCCTCGAGGGACAGGTTTCAACTTTTTCTAAGTAAGCTGAGAAGAATTCCGGTCTGGACACGGATGTTCTGGCTGGCAAAAGAACAGCCCCTTCCCCAGGCCGTTCCCTGAAACACTGCCAGCCGCTGCAGAGAACACCAGGTCCCAGGCTTACCCCGGGCGTCTGGCAGCGTCCCCAGCAGCGAGCACCCGTGGGCCGGGCGGTCAGCTTGCTGCTTCAGCGCGCGGTGGTGCAGGGCCTCGTCGGGAGCTGGTAGACACGGGGAGCCCAGAGGCATCGTGGTGAGCTTATGGTTTTTTGTGTTAGCCTTGTTTCCTGCAAGCTGCACGCTTACGTTATACATAATTGCAGACACTTCTAATTTGATCTGATCACATTTAAACACAAAGGGCTTTTTATTCACTTCTAGGCTGGAACTTACTGTTCATCAGATTTTACAATTTTCACCCGAATTTTGGAGATGGGAATCTTTTTAAAAGACAACCAAGTCAGTCGATGCCTCCGAGGCCCTTACCTTGCAGAAACTCTTCAGTAGTGACGGTGAGTTTGAGGTCCTCTGCCATATCCCAGTCCTCGAGGCCATTTTTTAAGTGCAGGCCTTCCCAAAATGACTTATTTTGAAAAGTCAAGTACATTTTCTTTGTATGATGCAGTAATCTCTGGGTGCTAAGCGCGGCGGGATCTGCAAGGGTGGCACAAAGAATCCCACAAACTCGAAGTGCCCTGTGTGCCAAGAGACTTGAGACTTGATTTCTTTTCTTTCTTTTTTTTTTTTTTTTTTTTCAAAAAAGGGGGTATCACACAGGTGGGTGAAGGGCTGGTCTGCATTTCACACTTATAAATACCTATTAAAGCCCCTTCCAGTGAGCGAATGGTCTGTGTTGGTGGAGTTAGCCACCTGATTGAGAAGAAGATAGATGGCACCACACAGGCTCTGTTTTCTGCCCATTTACTTTGCTTGCTAAAGCCTTCATAAACAAGCTGTTCCTGTGTTCATTAGGCTAACGTGGTTTTTTTCCTGCTTCTGATAAAATCACAGTGTCACCTACGCTGGGCAGTGGACTTCCCCGATCTGAGAACCCAGATGTCTCTGGAACCAGGATGGATCTCTTGAGGGACACCCAGTGCGCTCGGGATGCGTTTGCAGGTACCGGGCAGCTCCCTCACCCCACTTGCCTGGGAGTAGTGAGTTTTAAGACTGGAAACTGCTTTAGATCAGCCCAGGTAAAACACTGAGGGGGGTACCACAGTTGGGGAAAAGGAGCCAGGTTAAGCAGACGCTGGGCGTGCTCTCATGGTGTGTCCCCTGGAAACTTTTCGTGCAGCTTGAAGTCGCAATCTAAATTCTGTGCCTCCCTGAGGGGCTTTTGTTTCTTCGACCATATCTTTCGTACATGGCCCCTGCCTAATCCGTCCCAGGTATTACGAAGGAAGCGATGCGGTTCATGCTGTTAAAGGGTGGTTGTAATACATCCTCATCCTGTTTGCCCACTCGCCATCTCTCTTCTGCTCGGGGGGCAGGGGGAGTAGGTGGCATGGGTGGCAACGGGGTAGCTACAAATGAAAATCCAAGCCATGGCTTGGTCCCAGCAGGCAATCAGATTTCGGACTCTCTACGTACATTGACCATTTTGTGGCACACAAGTTACGCTCGTAGTGGAGGAGTACAGCGGGGCCTTGCTGCCAGTCTGTAGCAGGGAGGCGGACAGAAAGAGGCGGGTTTTGGCAGTTGCTGGGAAAGATTGCGCCATAAGGTTAGCGTCATGATGTTGGGAGACTCTCAGCTTAAAAGTGAATTCCATGACCCTGGCACCAAAGGTGCGGCCTTGAGTTTGGGTTTTTTCTGCGTTGTGAATCATGAAAGAAAAGGGTAAGATGCTTCTCCCAACTGCAGGCTTGCTCCGCAGTGGTTTGGGCCAAATGTTCCCTCACTGTTTGCAGTCGCTGTTCTCACCCTTTCTGTATTTGCATCTTTTGAGATGGGCCATTGGAAAACAAGTCAAATGCCAAACCACGCTTTTCTTGAAAAGGTAACCTTCCAAGGGCAGGGAAGGATCTGGCGTGCTCGATTTTACCTCTGCTGTAGAAGCAGCCTGTAGTTCGGACTGTGTTAAGGTTTGCTTAGTTCTTGTTAGGCATTCCACAAATATCAAGTCAGTATGGCTTTGTTTTTGCCAGATGCAAAAGACCACAGTGGCATAACTTTTTCCACCTGTGTGTGACAAAGTTCAGTCGTTAGTGGGGACTACGTGCTCCCTGTCAGATTCCTCAGGTGTGAGCAGGACCTGCTCGGTTGGCTGCTTTCCTCAAAAAAAGTCTGAGCGCGCCCCGATCAAAACCCTTTCCCCTTCCTGAAACTGGAGCCTGATATTTGAACTGGGATGTGTTGCAAACAAGCCAGCTACTATAGTTTAATAATTGACCACGTATCACTCGACCTGCCACACCACAAAGCCGCTTTCCCCTTTCTATCTGGAGTGAAACTCTCACACAGTGGTGTGTGCATCAGCTGAGGCATAGTAATTCATTAAGCCTGTGACTATCTACACACACCCTCACTCGGTGCCCCACCTACCCACATAATCTCTGCTACTTCAACAGTAAACTCGCACACGAGTGCGAGACTGGATGCAGTTATGTTAATGATCTTAGAACCGCGTAAGTATTTGGGGGGGGTAGAAGAAGTCCTGCAATAGCTAGACCTCACGTGCGGATGAAGTGTCTTGACCTGCTTGCTCTTCAGCCTGTGAAAAGCAAGCGGGGCAAGGTGCGAGGCACCGGTGCAAAAAAAAAGACGGAAGAATACTTGGGGATGGACTTGTCCCTGGGAAGGAGACCGCTCTCCCTGCCGCTCCCCACAGCCACCCTGGGAAGAGCCGGAGGAGGACAGCCAGTGCGTGTGGCTTGGCCGCAAGAGGCCGTGGGAGCTGGCGTTTTGCAGGGAGTGGCTGAATTCACCTGCGGCTCGTTCGGAGCCCTGACCTGGAGCGAGGTGGGGGCTGTCAGCGAAAGCTGCCGCAGAGCAATGAGGGAGATGGGAAACAGCTGCAGCCCTTCCCTGGTTGTTAGCCGCAGCTGGCTGCAGCTGATAAGAGTTTCCTTTCTCCCATCTTCCCCCAGGTTTCGGTGTCCTCGGAGAAGGCTCTAGAGCTGGTAAGTCACACGAGGGAAGGGGAGGGAGAGGCTATAACATAATACAATACAGTACTCCACCCAGAGAAGCCCTGAACAGTTGTACTCCCCCAAAAAGGATGCTCCCTAGTATTTTCTGCCTCTGCTGCAGGGATGGGCAGCGTTCCCCCGTGCAATGACATTTACCTCTTGCTGGTGGAGGTTTGAGGCGCTGCTGTAACGTGAACGGGTAAAGCAGGGAAATGAGCCCTGTGGTCTGCCCAGCCTGGGCAGTGAAGCTGGCAAAACTGGGAGCAGAAGTGTGCGTTTCTAGCTTAAAGCCTCAGAATGTTTTAAATATATGTGGTTGCAACTACAGACCTTTCGCTTAAGTCTAGGAAGAGGCTGAAAGGCCTTAATTTTGCCTGTAGCCGTTCAGCTGGTGAATCCCAGTCCCGTGGGTCTGTACACTGTGTGTTCTGGGTGAAACCGTTGTAACCCCTGGGTTCTGTCTTGCTACCCCTACTTTCCCAGGGTAGAGGGATCTTGAGCAGACCGACAGAGCTACTTTGTGGCGAATAAAATCAAAGGCTGCCGATTCCTTATGCCGTGCAGTTTGACCAGAAGCTCACACTTGTCTCCTAAAGCCGTCTCATTTTTCGGTCCCCCTCTAGCTTCGGAAGGTGAAATGGAAGTTAGAAGAGAACCTACTGACACACGCAGAAGGTCCAAGTAGCCAGCATCTCTGTCTGCATCATGAACGGAGCTGAAAACGTAGAGAGGCATCAAGCTGGAGGTGTCTTCGCTCAGGACATCTGGATTCTTCAAAGCCAGCTCTTTCCAGGTGAGTGTTACCTGCGCGGAAGCCAACGGACGGGACAGTTTTACTGGAAATCGGTCTCACCTACTCACACGCGCCTCGTAACCACAAGAACTGCAGGGAACTTTTGTAAGGATGCGGGTTGGCATTGAGGGGCAAGTGCAGCTCTCTTGTCTTGCTGAGTCCCATCTCCTGGTGTTTAAGACTTGTTTGCAAATCGAGAGAAAAGGAATTTTGGATTCGAGACGTAACTGTGAGCGTGCTCAATTGCTTCTCAGGATGTCTGACTTGTGCGTGTGCGTTTCTGCGTGAGGCAGATATGGATGTCTGCAGCCAGGCTTATGGCTTCACGTGGATGCGTGAATGTGCTGTGCGAGGCCTTCTCAGCAAGCCAGATAAACTAGATTTGCTCCTGTTTCTGAAAGGTGTTGGGTCCAAGCTCCCTCTCTCCCCTAAAGATAGGGAGCTCTGTAACTTGGCTTCTGACTCAGAGTTGTTATTCGAGTCTGGCTCGAATGGCTCTTGTAGTCCACAGCCGCTGAAAGCTTTGAGTCTGTACAGAGTGCCATCCGCCAGTCCGTGGTGATAGGAGGGTATCATCTCTTGTCTTGGCTTTGCCCAGCTGAGGAGCTTTCTATAGAATCAAGCTCAGTGGACTTGGGGGAACTCTGGGCTTGTGGATACTGGTTATGCCAATCAACTGTGTTCCTTGTATATATGTGGGTATGTATATATGTCGGTTGCTCCATCGGCACCGGACCGGGGCTGTGGCAGGGTGCCCGGTTAATCCTGCGGATGCCTGGCTCCGTGTCTGGTAGTACTGTAGGTAGACGCTGCCGCTGTCATAGCTGTTTGTGGCCTCCTCGGGACGTGAGGATACAACAGATGTACTTGATGAGTATCACAACCTTTTTTATTAGCCGTATTCTATTTTCTCTGAACAGATATGCTATTTTTCTGGCGGGGGAAAGGCGGCCTCTTACCCCTCACGTCCTCAAATCCTGTGAAGTTGCAGTAAAAGAGCTGAACTCGGGTCTCTGCCCCTCCTCCCTGATTTTTAAACCCACTTCAAAGGTGAGCTGGCGGAGGATTGAAGCGACCGGTTCTGCCGGGCTCGCGCCGCTCACCTTTCGTGCCGCTCCCCCGCGGAACAAAGCGCGGCGCTTCCCTTTGATTTCTGCCTTTGAAAGCCATAGGAGACAGAGTCTGAAACGCTTCGCAACTTTTTTGGCGACTCTGCTCCGGTACCTTCCTGAAGCGCTGGGTGGATCAGGACAGGGCTCAGACCTCGCTCACGACTAAATTAGCTGTCGGCACAGGCTGGAGACGGGATGCTTCATCCCTCCTGGATGCCACACCTGGTGTGCCCTGGGTTCGCAGGGAGGGCAAAGCAACGTGTGCAGCGAGGGGAGGAAAGAGCCACAGAGCGTCTCGGAGTCAGTGGCTCCAACTGACAAGCGTGAGAGTCCCGGGGCCCAGCCTGGCTGCCCCTCTCCAGCAGTACGTGCCACCTCCTGGCTCAGCTGCTGCCCGAGAGAGGTGTCTGCCCTATTCTCCATTTTGCCTGCTTTCTGCCAAGAAGAGACAGCATGCGACAGAGCAGAGCACGTGCTGCCAATCTCCTCCCGGGTGGGAAGGGGAAAACCAGTGAGTGCGTGTGCTGCAGCCAGTGCCCAAGGCACAGTCTGCTCGCTGTCTCTGCGA